ATGGTGGTGTTTATGGATGGTTTCTGATAACGTTCGTAGTTCCTATAACATAACTCCTCCATCCCCAAAAGGAACTCAAGGGTGTAACTGAGGTGGAACCACTTGGGTTGCGTCAATGGCAGTAGGCTTCTTCTTCTTCAGTTTTAGAAATTGCGTGATTAATTTTCTGTTCCTTAGTATTAAGTATATAAGGGTCAAGCTAAAGAAGGACGAGCTAATTCCTGTTGCCCATTTGAAGGTTGTGGTATAGTTGAGAAATTCTTGTATAGGCTCGATAGTATCTTCATTAAGTTGTATTTTATGTAGTTCGTCCAGATGAATTTTTTGGAGGTGTATTTTCTGTATGCTGATGGTGGGGAATGACATCTCGCCGATATTTTCTAGTTTGATAGGGTGACCCTCTATGATGCTTTTCTCATTTTCGTAGAAATATTTCTTAGTAGTTATCGAACATTTCGGTGGAATTATAAATAAGTAGGTACCGTGAAGAATGGAAACATCTGTTTCTGCGCAATTTGATTTTATTTTCTCTGGTTCTGGAAAAATGCCGATGTAATGGCTTTCATTGATTTCCTCTAATAATTGGCCGGAGATTCGAACGGGTATCTGTCGACATTGTGCAGGGGATGATGTAACTGATAAAATTGAAGTTATAATAATAATAATAATAATAATAATAATATAATAATAATACTCTCCCTAATTCACCCCCTTACGAGTGAATTTCAACCCCTGAAGTCGACTGAACGACTTGTGTAGGGGAAGGGACGGCTATTATTTGCCGTAGCGCTCCGGGGCGACTTAAAGATGATTGATGGTGCCATTTGACTTACAGGTGAGGAAAACCCGGAAAACCTCACCCACCATCATCGAGACGGTAATGTATGGCGAATTTTTTTAATCTGCATGTCATATCAACAGAAATTGAATTTCTATTAATACGCCACACATCAAATCCTAAACCGAACCATGCAATTTAATTAAAAATACACATGGTCTGGTCTGGGATTCGAAACCCAGCAGTCTCAGACTCATAAACTTGCCTATAAATGAATATAAGCGCGATAGACCGCTACACCACCGTCCCGATAATGCAGTCTTGGTTCTCTTGAATAGCTTGTAGTTGATTTATCTTGCAGAGGAAGTATGGCTGGAGTTGTAGACATTCTTCTTCTTGATATTGGTACTGATCGTTGCCAAGGATTAGGTATGTGGAAGGGGGAATAAGGATAGTTTGATTTTCATTGGGAACGGAGTAAAGATGATAATAGTTAAATAAATCTGAATGCACTTAAGGGAAATCTAGCGAGAAAATTATCTTGTCTTTATCGTAGTATACTTTAGTTTCAATTATTTCGTAGTATTTTATAATTTCGTCTTCGATGAAAATAAGTTGGTCGTGCGGATACAAGTTATACAATTCTTTGATAATTTGTTTTAAATCATCGGGGGTGATTATGCTTTGATGTAGTATTTTAAGATTGGCAAAGCTAATTGCATTTTCAATGTCAGTGAGGAAGCTCATCATTGAATCCGAATTTATTTTTATTTGGTTAAAGATTTCTAGAAACTCTAAATAGTGTGTGTAACTAAATGTCGTCTCATTAAGTGCTTTTCCTAATTCATTAATTTTATTAGAGATTAAAAGTTGATTATCCGAAATTGTAAATAATGATTCGTTCACGACTCGCATTAGATTTTTATTTAAAGATAGTTGAGAATTAAATTTTCTTATAATTTTATTTTGATTATTTTCTAATTCAGAAATGCTCGCGTAAATTTGGTTTGCATCTTCTTGGTCCATGTTTCCGCTGATAAATTTCACTAAGGAACCTAAAGGATTAATTAACCCTCTTTTATGACGGTTTGAAGGAAATATAGAGTTCATTTTTACATTTATTTTGTTAACTTCGTATTGTAAATGTTTGTAGGCGTTACGTAAAGAATTAAATTTATTGAAAGTGGAAGATTGATTTATTAATCTATCTAGGTTATAATATTGAGAAGTTAGGTTAATTACTTGATTTTCTATGGGAGTTACAGGAATATAATGGAGAAATGTGTGGGAAGCAATCTTCACTCTTGCTGGTCCGAGTTTGAAAGGAAGGATGCCTGGGTTATTTTTGAGGGATGTTATCTGAATCTTCTGGCTCGCTACTGTCTGAAGAATTGTCGTCCTGTGGGATTTTATTAATTAGTTGCCTGGAAGGTTTGAAAGATTGTTTATGGTAATTGTTTTGAGAAGTTGTGACTGTGAGATCGTTAGATGCTATGATATGTTCGGGTTTATATGGAGGTTTGGTTTTAGATTGTCTGTCCGTTTGTTTTTTATATGCGACTGTGCCGGGTAAAATGTCGGGAGGATCATTCCTTTTTTGTTGAGTTTTGCAATAAGCTTTTGTTTTTCTCATTTGTTTCGGTATGTATTTTATTGTAAATTTGTTTCATATTTTCTTTATGTTCGCTAAGTTGAATATTATAAGGTTGAGCTTCATTATCTATTTCACAGGGGTCTTTTAATTCGAGGTGACCTAAAAGAAGGTCTATTGGTTTGCATTTAGTAGCTGAGTGTATTGAGTTGTTATATCCTATAACTGACAAGGTTAGTTTTTCGAATGAATTCAATTTAGGTTTGGTTATTGCTAATGTTCTCATATGTTTGAGTAGGGTTGAATGGAACCGTTCTACTATTGCATTGCTATTGGGATTTTGTGGTAAGGTATAGTGCCAATTAATGCGATATAGTTTGGCAAAATCTTTAAGAAGATGTTAAGTGAATTCTGTTCCACAATCTGACACAATGTTTTCGGGAATTTTAAAAGTTGAAACAAATTGTAATAAAGCTTGATAAATATGGAGGGCTGTCATACTAGGTACTATATAAGCCTGCCCAAAACGGCTAAAACTGTCACATATTGTCAATGTAATCGTATTGTCAAATTTGAACGTATCTACGTGTACTGTCTCAAGGGGTTTTTTTGGAGTCGGAGTTAGCTCGAGTTTTATTAAAGGAGGGTGTCTTTCATATTTTGCTTGTTGACAAACTGAACAATTATTGATAAAATCTTTTACGTCATTGTTTAATTTTGGCCAATAGTATTTTGATTTTAACTGATTTATTTTTTCATGAATACCTCTGTGATTTGTTATTCCTTCATGTTGATTTTTCAGTAATTCTTTTTGTCTTTTTTCGTTGTTTATGTCATATAGTAAGGTATTTGATTTTAGAAGTTTAAAAGCGGAATTTTTAAAAATTAATGGAATGAATTTACACATATTTTTATAAAGAATTTCTTCGCTGTCGTTTTGAAAAAAGAAAACATATCGTTTCTTTGGGACACCGTAATCTTTTAGAAATGTTATTATTTGTTGTTCAAAAGAGTTATTCGTTACGTATAGGGACCATCTAGTCCTAGCGGGAGCATTGAATATTTTTTTTATTTCTTGCCTGGGGTTTTGATTAACTTTAATTATGATAATTTGATTTAGAAATGTATTTAAAGGTTTATCGGTTATATGTATGCCTAATATAGGATTTTCTTGACTGGTATGTATAGTATCACCGTCAGAATCGTCTTTGTCATTTGAGTCAAATTCTGCAAGTACAGATTGGATGTCTTGGTCAGTTATTATTGGTACGTCGGGGTGTTCCCGAATCATTTGGGGTGGTGTTTTTGAAGTTGTGGGATTAGAATTGTCGATAGATTCGTTAAAGTTTTCAATGTATTCGAAGATATTTGAAGGGTTATTAGTAGATTTATCAATAGGATAAATTTCTATCCTGGAGAGAGCGTCTGCGTTGGTGTTAGAGGATCCTTTTTTGTATATAATTTCATAGTCGAATTCCTCGAGTTTTAGTCTCCACCGAACCAAACGAGAATTGGGTTCTTTCAGAGACATGAGCCACTGTAGGGGTTTGTGGTCTACTAAAATTTTTAATTTAGTGCCGAATAGATAAGCTCTGAAATGTTTTTTAAAATATACCAATGTTCTAAGGAAAAACAAAATATAGTGCTATACGTTGTTTTTCGTTAGAATTAATATGATTAACCGTCCCATGTGTGCTAAGAAGAAAGGAAGTACAGTCAATGTCTAAATATCAATTTCGAGAAAAATGCTGGTTACTTTGTATTACCGTAGAGCAGTCGTTTTGATTAACCATATTAAATTAATAGTTAGCAACTTATTAAATTATCAATTAAACCAATTTTAATCAACTTCGAAAAAATAATGCAAATTAAAAGTTATAGTAAAAACAATAAAATTATTTTTATCATAGAAATCCTAATTGATTGTGGAAAGAGAAAATTACGATTTATATCAACTTTTTCCTTTACCCACTCCTAAAAGTAACCTTTTACAAATGATTATTCCAAATTCGAAATTCCTTATCTTAAACGAACAAAATTTCAAGTCATTTGATTCAGAATGTTAAGAAATTAGTATCTTATCTGCCACGAATCAGTACCAACTTCAGTAGAAGAAGACTTCCCCTACGAAATTTTATTGCTGAGGTTTTCCAACTTCCATTGTGGACATAACAATTCAGAAAATTCATCAAAATGAAACGGATGATCATCTCACCACAGAACACAGTGGCTCAAAGAATCTGCGGACAAGACAATAACAATGTCCCATTAGAAGAAACATTTTTGTTAGAATTAAGTAATAACTGTAGCAATGAACTGCCAAAAAACGAATTTAAAATAATTGAACTTCCTAAAGGATACTACACATCCCTGAATAATTTGGGCACTGGTGAAAGTAATATTTTTTTACACATCGATATGAAATTTTTACCACATTTATCCCCAAATAAATAAGTAATTTCAACATGGTGCTTTCTAACCTTAAAATCAAGTAATTAAGTAAACATTTAAAGAAAATAAATTGTTTTAATTATTTTCATTTCTGGATCTACAATTTTAAAATATTCTACTGAACTAAATTGTTTGTTTTTTTTTAACTGAACTGTAATTCGAAAACCAAAGCACATATACCAAGCAAATAAAAATAAATGTGAACATTAATAAAAAAACAACTTTTATACTTTTCTTTTTTATTTAGAGACAATTTTGAAAATATACCAAAAAAATTTACTTATATTGAAAGCTGTTATCAGTCTAGATGACATAAGCTGAGTGGCCATATCCAGAATATCCAACTAAAGCAGGAGCAGCATGGTAGGCGGATACAACTGGAGCAGCATGGTATGAGGTCACAACTGGAGCAGTATGGTATGCGGACACAACGGGAGCAGCATGCACAACAGGGCTCACTAACGCGTGACTATGTACAATAGAGCTGCTTTGTTCGCTAATTGTAGTTGGTACTGACCCTACAACAGCTGTACTGTATACTGCAGGAGCCAAATAGGTGGGCTTAGCAGAAACTGCGGCGACAACGGCAAACAACACCACCAATTTGAACATGTTGAAAAAATAGGTCTGTGTTGTACTGTAGACTAACAAAAACTGTGCCACAACTCGTTGATGTTTCTCAATTTATAGTGTTATGGGTGAATGTGTTGTGACAGATGATATCTACATAGCGGTAATATGAGTTGTAACGTAAGAGATACTTCTAAAAAAAAACGTTAACCTTGCGCCACGCTTCATATGATAAATCAGAGTGTCTAAATTATGCTATAAGCTGCTTGTGTTTCCTCATTGAAAGAATAATGAATAAATATTAATTTTTTTGAAAATTTAAAATATTACTAAAATTGTTCGCATAATTAAAAATCATTAAGCAAAATTCAGAAATGTCAAATAATTAGTTAATTTATAATCTAAATTAAAAAAATAATATTCATTAAAGAATGGGCCAAACTTCAGTTAGTTTGGACAAAAATAGTTTCATTTAAGCCAATTTACCTTAGTATAATTTTGCTTCCTTAAGAAGTTACAGGGTGGAATAAATATATATATTTTTTTCAATATTTTTACGATAATTCAATTATTTTTTGAGTAAATATCTTGAATTTTGTGAAAGTAAGGTTTTTTGGGTGATACAAACGAATACCAGCTTTTTTATTGCATTATATGTATAGGGCGTTCTAAACTGGCGTGCCAATCTAGTATTTACTTCAGATATTTTTAAGAATATACATTTTAGAAAATGATTAATTATTTTAAAAAAGCGTTTAATTTGCTTTAAAAAAGTATACTTGTTGCATGTCACTAAAATGCATCGTTTGAAGGAAAACTTTATCTGCTGAATAGACACGAAAACAATTTACGGTTGGGCTATCTACGATTGGGCGTAAACTGATATCATATCGGTCATTTAACTGTTTGAGAAAAAGTTATGTCGCGGCATTGTATAAAAATAACGAATTTTATTACTCAAAACTCTGATGCTTGTATGTAAGACTAATCCTGATAGTGCTACTACATTTGACAACTGTCTACTAGATTTAATATTAGCAAATTGAGAAATTATGGAGTAATCCATACATTTGGATTACTAACTTTAAATTAGGTTTTCCTTCAAATGATGCATTTTAGCGACATGCTACAAATATCTCTTTTTTAAAGCAAATTTAAGTTCTTTCAAAATAATTATTTTTTTTTTAAAAATGTCCATTCTTAAAAATTTAGAACGCCCTGTACAGGTAATGCAACTAAAAAGCTGATATTCTTTTGTATTATCCAAAAAAAGTTACTTTCACAAAATTTGGATATATTTACTCAAAAAATATTTAAGTTATCGTAAAAATATTGAAAAAAAAAATAATTTTCTTCACCCTTTGTCCAAACTAACCACATCTAAAGTTTGGTCCATTCTTTAATGAACTATAAATTAACAGAAATAAAATATTTCTTTTTTTGGAAATAAATTCATTTTTAACCAAAATATTATTTATAATATTCTTAGTAATGGAGGTATGGAAAACATAATTTAGAGAAGGTACAAATGTGAGCTATGCTTGTAATATGGGCTACCGAATTAACTACAATACGCATTGCGCCATCTAGTAATATACAAGGTAGAAAACATAAATTTCCACTGGAGAAACTAAAATTTTGGGTGAAAATACAGAAATTTTTGATATGTTTATTTTGAGGTATTTGAAAAATATAGCCAAAATATGTTTTAATTACCTAAGAGGAATAAAAGAAAGAGTTTTTTTAAAGATTATTTAAAATAGGTAAGAGCTAGAAAAAAGTTCTGGATTAAAATTATAAAGTATGAAATTTTACATTTAAATGTTCTCTTAATTTTATTGCTACCCAATAAACAATAAATTGCTGGGATATTGCTGGCCTTTTGCTGTAATTGAAGGGAAAATGACGGCGACGATTAAAAGATAAAAGCCTACTTTTGGCCTTTCGATCGTGGCCCAGCATTGTTGATTGATGATGGTCTTATTATAACTGTATTGGGTAAAAGCATGGGAAAATTTAAAAGACTGCCACAGATCAAACTCCAACAGTTCAGGAGGGCTGCGTCCCGCGTTCATAGTTGGAGACACCGATTAACGCTTGTTACATTATACTCAACGAGTGGACATGCATTGCTGGTATTGACTATTCAGTATTCATTGTAATTTATTTCTTTTACATGTTAATTTAGAATATTTTATGAATAATAATTTATAGAAAACATTTTTCTGTATTATTATATTATGTAGCTGAATTAAAATGTCTACAATATTCCATACTGGAATGCCTTCTATTTTTGTATACAATTTTAAGTTTAAACCGTACTTCTGGTCAAAAAGGCACTATCGATTCTTCTGTCTGTTCATGTACCTGACACAAGGCAGTCAGTATTAATATAATAAAAAGCCAAGAATTTCCCGTTAACTTTCCATCAATAGGCCATTAATTGCCAATATATTTATTTCTAGACATATATATGCCGGACGTTTAATTATAAAAGTTAAATGGCTATCATTACAACTTAAGGGTAACAGTTATTGGGCATTTTATTGCCCTGTACAAAATGTTTGTTGGGTATTATTAAAATTAACAAATTTATGTTGGTTAAAAATAAAATGATGAAAAAAAGTTATTCCTTATAAAAAGTTTTGAATGGTCTGAAACTTAAAATATAATCATCAGATATTAGTTTTTTGAGCCGTATACAAGGTTTGTCAAAAAATATGAGTAAAGTACCTACCTTTATTCTTTATACGACTGATAAAATTTGATATCTGGTCGACTTTTTAAAAAGAATAGCTTCTTTCCCAATATTATTAATAAAAAAGTTTTTCACATGCCACCAATTTACGTAGACAGTTGGTGGCACTGGGAAAGCTTTTTTATTGCTAATTTTAGGAAAAAATTGACCAAAAAAATAAAATTTGTGGCCTTCTGCCGCGTACGCGCCCCTCGGAGGATAGTATATTCTTTATTTAGCTAATAATAAATATATAAAAAACTTTTTTATTTTTACCCACCTTGTATCAATTTGAAGCAATGTGTGATACACTTTTGGAATCAGCTCATTAAGGGAAATCTGGAAAACCGAAAAACAATAGCTGTTTCATAAAAAAAAATGGTGATGACGTCATCATACAAAGATAGTTAACTGTGTATTTGATTATTATTAAAAAACGGTAAACTAAAATCATAAATCGAGTTGCAAATAATAAATTTGTACGCAAATATGTATATGTAACTCCAGCTCAATCTGGTTTAAGAATGCATCATAGTACGACCACTGCCCTCTTATATATCACGGATGACCTTTTTAAAGCGACAGACCTGGGCAAAGTCACATGTTTGGTTCTCCTTGATTATAGCAAATCATTTAATACTTTAGATCATCCAATACTTTGCAAAAAACTGACATTTTTCGGTTTTTCACATAAATCCGTTTGTTTATTATCAAATTTTCTTAGCAATTGTACTCATAGAGTTATTTTGGAAGCTGATGTATTCAGCAGTCTACCCGTTATGAAAGGTGTTCCGCAAGGATCCATTCTGGGACCAATTCTGTTTTCACTATATATAGCAGATTTTTATGGCTTTGTTAAAAATTGTGTGATCCATCATTATAAGTGCTTACTTACTGCCCAACATCTTATTAACGACGATTTATATGCTTTACTTGATATTTCTACAGCTCACAACCTTAAAATAAATTTAAAAAATCTTACATAATGTTATTTGGCCGCAAACAATTAAGACAATTAACAATAAACGCATTAAAAATTAAATTAGGCGATGCTCTCTTTTAATTCATGAATGTAGAAAAAAACCTAGGTCTCTGGTTAGATTCTGATCTTCGTTTTAGTAAACACACCTCCACCATATCTCAAAGTTCGTTCAAGGTCTTAAGACAGTTGTACCCTAACCGAGACCTGCTTCTCACACAACTCAAACTTAAACTTTGTGAATCTCTCATTTTTTCCAAACTCAGTTATTGTAATTTTATCTACGGTCCAGCCTTACTCCAATCCGATTCCGCTCGTTTACAAAAAATAGCTGTCTACGTTTTGCCTATGGAATTCGAAAATTTGATCATATCTCAAATAAAATAAAAGAATCAGGTTGGTTGACTTTCAATAACTATCGCTTTTTGCATTTACTAACCCAAGTTCACAAAGTTTTACTCGTACAAAAACCTGATTATTTAGTTAACAAATTAAAGACATTTTTCGATAATAATGAATTTCCTACGCGGAATAGAATGACCTTGGTGGTACCGAATCATAACACGGCTCTATTTAAAAGATGTTTTTCGTATGTTGCATGTAAAGATTACAATAAACTAACAACTTGCTTAATTTCAAGAAACGCCTAAAAGAATCTTTGTACAATAAGCAATGGTCATAAAAAAATATATATATTATAATGCAACGAATTTGGTTTTGAAAAGCTGTGTATTTTTTATATTTTTTATACCGTTTCTCTCTGTATTATATTATAATTATTATATTTTTATGTTATTTACAGGTTAAGTTGTAAATCAGCAGAAGCTGAACTTCACCTTTTCATCTACTTCATATATATGTATATATTTACACTTATATTAAAACTTGATGAATAAAGACGATTTATTATTATTATTATTACTTTATGAACGCACTCACTGTTTTTAAGCTTATAATAAAATTATTGTGCTACCTGGAGTACCTTTTTTATTAAGTTCATATCACATTTTTCGATATTTATTTACAGTATAACCCTTAAAAAAATATCGCCGGCACTGGCTGATGTTTAGTAATTTTACTTTCAGCCAACTGGTAACTGGTAATGTCAATTGGGTCACATGGGATACAAATATTGTTAAAGACTCTGTAGAAAATATTTTCTGCATTCTAAATAAATACTTAAGGCTGCTGTCTCATCAAATAATTTCCCAATATTAGATTAAATTCTAAAAATGTTTATGAATAATTCTTAATCACAATAAATCATTCCTCCGTTACGCCATTTTTATTTTGAACAAACTGTCACTTTGTATATCCATTTATTTGTGACTTTAAAATATGCACCCTCTTT